TGGTGCTGAGGAATGGAACCCAGGGCCTCAGGCATGCAAGGCAAGCACTCTACCACTGAACCACTTTCCCAGCCCGCTGAACTTATATTTTAAATAGAAACTTTTAAGTAATCTTAGTGCTTGCCGAGACAAAGGCAGAAGCAGAAGCATTATGAGTTGGAGGATGGCCAAATGAGTTCAAGGCCAGCATGTGATACATAGTGAGATGTTTTCTCTCTCCAAAAAATTTTTATAACACTCAGTTTGATAGAATTGTGTCTTTTTTCAGGTTAAAGAACTGAATCATTATTTGGAAGCAGAAAAATCTTGTAGAACTGATCTAGAAATGTATGTTGCTGTTTTGAATACTCAGAAATCTGTTCTACAAGAAGATGCTGAGAAATTGCGCAAAGAATTGCATGAAGGTAAATATATGTTGTGTATGTTTTAATTTTAGTCTCTAAGATGACTATAAGTAAAGTTAGTATTGACTAGTAACAACAAACTGTAATACCACTGTCATATATTACTGATTCATTTTAAGCATTGTAGTCTGTTTGAAAGTTCTTGTGAAGAGCTACAGCTATATTACTGTGGGGACTAAGATTGTTAGTATCAGATATTTCTTCTGTGACCTCTGTAACAACTTTGCAAGGCATGTGGTGTCACAAAGTTACTAAGCTGAAAGTTTCTGTTTAAATTGGTTTTGTCCATTCTCCCATTTAGGTGAAGGTGGATTAGTAAAATCGAGAGTGAGATAGAGGCACAAAGTATATTCTGGAAGCCATATGTAGCATCACTTTTTTTTGATGGTGTAATGAAGTTTGAAATTAGCTTTTTACTTGCTGGACAGGTGCTCTGCCACTTGAGCCATACCCCTGGCTAGTGTGGACTATGATCTTCCCATGGAATCACAGCTACTTGTCACCACACTAACTTGTACTGGCTGAGATGAGGGTCTTGATAACTTTTTGTCAGCATTGACTTTGAACGTCAGTGATCCCAATTTCTGTCCTCCCAAATAGCTAAGACTACAGGCAATAGCCGCCATGCCTAGCTTAATACACGTGTTTTTTAAGAGATGGTTTTGATTTCAGTAGTCTCATATAATGACAAATTGACTCTGTATTTCCTAAAGCAGTTACCAAACTTAAAAAGATTAAAACGAAATTAAAAAGAAAATTCAAGTAAGTTTTGTGTGTGTGTGTGTACATATGTGCTGGGTGTGCTGGAACTAGGCCTTGAAAACTCAAGGTCTGGCACTGTCCCCTAGCTTTTTTTCAAGGTTGAGCCACCATTCTACTTCTGGCTTTTTGTGGGTTAGTTAGGAAGTCTCTTGGACTTGACTGCCTGGGCTGGCATTGAACCTTGATCCTCAGCTCTCAGCCTCCTGAGTAGGATTGCAGGTATGATCTACCAGCACTCAGAAGTTTTCATAGTACATAAATAACAAGGTGTAGCAAAAGTTTTAGTAATTACTAATATTAAAGTACTAATAAACATAAATTAAGATATCTGTAACAACTGGTAAAATACGAAAGCATCTTTGATTTCTACTGGTCATAAATATGGTTTGTTATACTATTATGGTTTATTTACTAAATTTTATAATAGAAAGGGAAAATTTTGGTTAAAGGATGATGAAGATCTAATTTTTTCAACCTTATTTAAATATATGGACCTCTTAAAATTGTATGCTTTTTTTCCTGGCATCAGGATTTGAACTCAGGGCCTTGGGCTCAGCTGGTGTTCTGCCACTTGAGCCATACCTCTAGCATTGTCTTTTTGCTGCTTAATTGGAGATAAGAAAGAATTTCTTGGAATTTACTGCTTGGGCTAGTTTCAAATCTATATCTCCAGGTCTCAGCCTCCTGAATAGCTAGGATTACATGGATGAGCAAGCCACTGGTACCTGGCAAAATCTTGTATTTGTTTCACGTTATACCAGCAACATTTTAATATGCAGGATCTGAATCGTGTTGATAGCTATCTATCTGTCTATCTATCTATCTATCATATTATGTGTGTGTATGTGAGTGACTGGTTGGTACTGGGGTTTGAACCCCAGGTCTAGTATTCTGTTTTCTTTTTCACTCAGGGCGGTGCTCTACCTCTTGAGCTAGTTCTAACTTTTTCCTGGTTAGGTGGAGATAAGAGTCTCAAAGATTTTTCTGCTGGCTTTGAATCTCAACTCTTAGATCTCAGCCTCCTGAGTAACTAGGATTATAGGGTTGAGCTGGTATTAGCACCCAGCCCCTACAATGGATATTTTAAATATATAAAATACTGTGGAAAATATAGTTATAAATAATTTTGGTTTACATATGGGTTAACTCCCCTTCCCCCCAAAAGAAACCTGAAATGATAGCTTACAAAATTATTTCATAAAAGTGAAAATAATTCAATCTTTGAGTATCTGTATGAGCTTCAGGAAAAGTTTAAAATGTGCTGTTGTAGCCTTATCCTATACTAATGGATGTCCAAAAGGAATAGTATTTCTCTTCAAACTTTATACCCCAAACCCTTTTAGAAATAGTGAAAGTCACACCGGGTGCCAGTGGCTCATGCCTGTAATCCTAGCTACTCAAGATGCTGAGATCTGGGGATCACGGTTCAAGCCAGTCCAGTCAGGAAACTCTGTGAGACTCTTTTCTCAAATAAACCACTAGAAAACCGGAAGAGGTGTGGCTCAAGCAGTAGAGCTCTTGCCTT